TGCTGAGTGACAGGTTAAAGGGCTCCAATAAAGATTAGATGGTCCACTATCTCCTGAGGAAATTGCATAAAAGTGGTTATTCCCTCTTGCTTCTATTAATTTCCTCTTCCTGGCTGCTTGGAAATGCTTCATAACCTGATGCTACAGATGGGGACGAGAAGCGCTTTCCATTATCTCAATCACTGCACTGTTTATGAGACACTTAATCTGTTTCTTTATAAAGTAATAGTACTGTCGGTGATGGATTCAGTGTCATTGCAAGTCTGTGTGCAGGGACGGGAGGGGAAGGGCGTTCTTGAGAGTATTGTAAGCAGCAGGTAATTTGTTACATCGTTGGTTGAGGCTCTAAGTTGGGTGGGTGTTTCAAGGTGACCTTCTGGATACCAGCTAGAGGTGACAAGTACTAGTTCATTGGCAGTAGAAGGGGGAGGGAAATATGTGTTTTGTCTGTTGAATGCAAAATACACACATGCTTATAGATGGGAGACTCAGGTCTTGTCTCTTCCGTTTGCTGAAGTCAAGGGTGGGAAGAGAGGCTTGTGTGTGTGTGTGTGTGTGTGTGTGTGTGTGCGCGCGCGCGCATGCGCTATACAAAAGCCTTGGCTCTGCAAGCTTCTAGCTCTTCTGTCTGAACTGTGGATCTCACGAATGAAGGGAAGCAAACCCCCTTATTTTAAGGAAGCAAAGCAATTGCAGGTTGCATCTCTGTCAGAAGTTACAGGTGTCCCACTGACAAAGGTCTTATGTGAATACACAGCGAGGTGCAGGCGGCTCTTCTCTTCCCACCCACTTCCTGGAATAGGAATGAAACCCCTCTACTGACGTCCCAGGCTGGGCACTTTCTGATCTAATTCCCCTTTCTACCTCTTCTGTTCTTCCACCTCTTCTCTTCTTGCTTTGTCTTTCCTTCTCCTTCTGAATCTCACTTTCTAGCCATCGCAAGAAAATGTTTCACTGCACCCTCATCTTGTAAAGATGGATCCCTAAAAGATGCACATCCTGGCGGACTGGTCCCCTGTGTACACACGAGCATAGCTGTATCGGAAGCAGTGTTCAGCCATCTGCTTCGTCCGCCAGAAAGGGAGCTTCCTAAAGTCTGTGACCCCATCTGTGCTCTGCTCTATTCCTCTAGCACAGTGCCTGGCTAGGGGCAGACCCTCAATAAACATTTGTTGAATGAGGGACTCATAACTGTAGTAATAGTGCTGACCATAATTCTGTATTGAGAGAGGGAACCCCTGAGTTTTGAAATGATATTAAAGCAAATAATTATTTTAGCCACCTCAAAATTGCTTGGGAGTGCAAGATGTGTTTGGTTAGGCTATCACAGTGTTGAATTGTTATTTTTTGAAACCACAGAGGCCTTGGGCAGGTGTACAGTCTCCAGGCTGCCAGAGTCTGCAACATTTTGTACTGTTACTCCCAGTTGCTTGAAGCACTTAAGCCACTGACCCAGCCCCAAAGGCCATCTGCCTTTGCTTCTCTTAGCCTATATATTTTTTGTCAGAATCTACCCAGAAGCTCCATTTATCATCCCTAATTAAACCTGCTTTTTCTCAAGGGGAAGCTCAGTTTTCTTATTTATTTTTCTATGTTAAATTTCTATTAAGATAATAATATTGTTAACTTCCATTTCTTATTAGTGGTGTCTGATACAAGACAAGTTAAAAAGGCTTTGTGTATTAGTCTGGCACTTTAACCATTATTTAAAGCATTAATTTTATGAGAAAATGCAGCACATATATGGTTACAAGTAAAAATATGAAAATTTAATAAATGAACTTGGGAATAATGCTTCTTTTATAAATTAGGAATGCCTAGACACAAATCTTATTAAGATATTAAGATATTCACCCATTTTGCAATTATATGTAAAATATATCTTATGCATATGATGGTTAACTCATTTTAAAAAACAGAAATAAATAATTTATGCAGAAACCCATTTTTTCATTTGGTTCCAGGATGTATTTACCCACTTTGGGACTCCACATTTATATTCTGACTCCAAATTCTAAAAGTCCCTGAAAAGAAATCTTGTTTTTTAAAAAGAAGTAAGTTTGGGTAGAGAGAAATTAGCATTATTAGCACACATTAATAGCTACATTTCATATTTGAGATTAGTCAATTCTAATGACCTGTGGGAGTTATTACGGGAAGTATAAGGTTCTTTTGTATAGATCTTTTATACAGATGAGCAAATTGAGGCTCTGAGGGATTATATAACTTGTTGGTGGTCCCCCATCTAGGAACCAGCAGAGCCAGGAATTGGACCCAGGACTATCTGACGACACCCAGTGCTCATTTCTCTGGGAGGATGGAGTCACATCCTCTCCCAGAACCTCTCTCCCCAACCCTTCTCTGAGCTTCCCTCCTGAAAGTCTAAACTTCTTGCCCTCCATTCCCTTCCCTTGTGGCTGCCTTGGGGTTCAGAGACTTAGTCACCCAGAGCTGCCTTCTTCCATCATGAACCTTGGAGGAAGGCACTTTCCAAATCCCTCTGCCACTTGTGGATATCAGGATGACTGTTTATGCTGTTAATTTATTAAATGCAAAGTGAGGAGGCTTTTAAGTGCTGGAAAGAAAGGGAAAACACCTTATTCTACTCAGATTGATACATTAAGAAAATTACAGTGTGGCAGGGACCAAATATGATGCTTGAGTCGTGAGTTGTCACCACTTCCCCTTCCCCCTTTCCAGGAACAGGGCCCCTGCAGTGTCTAGGTGGCACAGGCCTGGCATGTGCCTGTGTTCAGCAGCTCAGAACCAAACAGGGCCAGGGACACTGGGGATCTACCATGGAAAAGGGCAAGTGCTTCTCACAGGAGATGAGGAACAGTATGGAAAGAAGAAAAGGGAAGAGGGAGAGACATAGAAGAAGAGACTGTACAAAGTGGGCTTGGACAGATAAATTAGTAAGCCAAATTCTAAGGTACTTTGGATATTCTATTTCATTCAGTGTTTTCCCCTTCGGTGTTTTGTTGGCTGGGTCTTTAGTAAAGATTCAAATGAGGTTGTTTTCTGTCTACAGAGAAGTTTCTTTTGAATGTGCTGAGATGGGACAGCAAGTGGCCTGTTTCTACATGGGTCACAACAGAAATTGTAGTTTCCCCCAAATCGGGAAACAGCATTTACCCCAGTGGGTTCCATAGTCCCAGGGAATACTCTGCAAAGTAGGGCTTCTTGGTGAAAAAGCATGGCATTCTGCACCCCATTTTGGAAGTTCTGAGAAATCCTACAATAAAGAATGGGATTCACTTTTTTAAACTCACATTTCAAGATATCTGATCTTTGGTAATAGGTGTTAACAACCCAGGGAACTTGGGTTCCATGGAACACACTTGGGTTGTGCCATTCCAGAACATTCCAGAGATTACCTCCCACCTTGGGACACACCCAGAGTCACTGAAACCCTTTCCTCACCTTAAATGAGCAATAGAGTGGGAAAACCTCCACAGCATAGGAAATAGTTCTTCCGTCTCGCCTTGGCAGAAAAGCAGTGCATATTTTTCAAATAGCTTTATATATATATATGTCATCACTATCATTTCTCCCACTGTGTGATCATGGATAACTTTTTTAACCTCTCCATGTCCCAATTTCCTCATTAGCAAAATGGAGATAATAATAGCTACCCCATAGAGTAATGCATGGAACGTACTTAACAAGACAAGTTAACAGATGGTGGCTACTGCTATTATTAAAGAATACTCTGCACTTTCCAGGAGGGAACAATATATTTGGGAAGATGAGCTTTGTATAAGTAGAAACCATTAGGATGGTACTTCCATTATGCAATGATCACATTGCATTATAATTGTAGGACTACACTGGATCAAGAGCTCCTTGAAGGTAAGCTCTGTTCTCTAATTTCCTGAGTTAGGTTCACAGGAGGTGCACCATAAATGTTTTTTTGAATGAATCAGTGAAGTGTAAGAAAGCCAAACAAGTTGACCAGGGAGTAAGTTTTATATAGTCTCAAAGGACGATAAGCCAGAGCAAGTTTCATGGCAACCAGAAGATTCAGCGGCTGAATTGGTGAGAAAGGGACTCAGGAAAGTAAGGCAGGTGGGATCAATCTTTTAAGGGATCAGCAAGGAGGAGACCAGATGTCTGGACTAGAAGGTCTGTAGATGAGACATGATCAAATCCTAAGGGACAGGCTGCAGCCATATTTTTAGGGCATGGCTCTTTGTAGGTTGATCCCACAGGGAACTAGGAGGAGGTACCCTACATATGGGGGCACCTTCAATGGGTATCAGGCTGTACCAGGTACACCCAACCTTCCACACTGCCATGTACATGACACCAAGTGCATGACACATTCCCTGGTGCAGTGTCTGCAAAATCATCCTTTTCTTGCCCAACCCCCAAAGCATATCAAAATGCAATTAAGGGAAGATGATGTAATCACCTTGAAATCACTTGAATGTATTTTTAAAGAATCACTCATGAATTTCAGTCTTCTACCATCATTCATAACAAGTAAATGTTAACTCATCTCATGGTGTTCCTCATGTGTGTTGCAGCATGGTATTTAAGAACCATGAGGCCAGTCCACTGTCAACCAGGACCCCTTGCCATCTGAGACCATCAGACAGATTCCTTCAGTGAGTGGCTCAGGGAAAGGCCCTGGTTGTTAACTAGGTAGAAGGGGAGGAAATAGCCATTTATAGAGCACTTATGTCCCAGGAACTGAGCTACACATTAGATTCATTTTCTAAATTAAACCTCTTGACACACCTGAAGGGGAAGAATTATTATTCATATTGTTCAAGTGATAGAGGCCATTGGTACCAGAAAGGTATATTTCACTAAAATTTTTTTGAAGAATTGAAAGTGCTAAATAGGGGTTTCTTCAATCAAATATGCTCATTTGGTGCAAGGGGGCATCTTGATGTTCTCTTTAGAGAGGAAGAATCTTTTGTTTTCCAGTTCTAGGGAAGGGTTTCTGGATGCCACTGTTGAATTAATTCTCATATGGTCTCTTTGTGTTCCAGCCTGCCCTGCAGGGATGTTCAAGGCCAGCCAGGAGGCTGAAGGCTGCTCCCACTGCCCCTCCAACAGCCGCTCCCCTTCAGAGGCATCTCCCATCTGCACCTGCCGGACCGGCTATTACCGAGCGGATTTTGACCCCCCAGAAGTGGCATGCACTAGTAAGTGTCTATTAAGGGCTTTTGGCTGGGGGGGAGGGGGGGTTGGTTTCCTGAAAGTAGTGGGCCTGGGCTAAGGAAGAGAAGATATCACACTTCCCTTGCAGTGGAAGGCAGAACTGCTGGCCATGGTGCTGAAATGTACAGCTTCTGTCCTGGGGGTGCAGGGCCCTTCTCTCTCTGTAGCAAAGTCAAGATTACATTCTTTCATCTCCTTTCCTACTATATGAAAGGGCCTTCTTCCCACCCCTGAAGGGCAACTTATGCCCATTATTTGTCAGCCTGGGGAGTTTTTTTGGGTGCAAAATCAAGATCCACTAGGATATTGCAACAACTCCTAGTAATGCTTCCAGTTACCTCCTCCAAGAAGCTCCTTCTGGTCCCTACAGCTGAGAATCTCCTCTCTCTTCATTGGGTTTCCCATATCTCTGTAACCAGACTCCCCTTATAGCTCTCATTATTTTATCAGCTGTCCAGTTATTCTGTTCTTGTCTCATCTCAGTTGCCACATGAAGGTCCTTGTGTGCCAGGACCATATACTCATGTCCTTGTGCCCCTTCTAGTGTCTACCATGATGTAACTCCTGTGCCCTTGCCAAATGACAAGACCAGAGGCATGATCACAGAGTGACTCTCAAAGGCAGAAATTCTAGAGATTAGGGCTAATGTACCAGCTACATCCACTCTGCCATTATCTGCTGTTGAGGGAAGGGCAGTCATTCTGCCAAAAAATGGGGAGAGGCAACTGCACTCCCTGAGTAAGGATAGAGGAAGGGATAATTTCCTTCCAGTACTTAACCCTTAATCCCTTAATAGTGGGAAGACAGAATCAGTACTGTCCCTGCAGAGCACTTCACAGAACTTGCTACAACTCCCCTAAGCATTGTAGCCCTGCAATAGGGATGATCTCTCTTTTCAGTATTCCCATTGTATTTGGAGGTCAATGTTCCAGGTTAGTCTCTAATTATGCTAGAACTTTCTTTTGCATTGGATGCTGCTGCCTGGATTCCTGTGAGCAGAGACCTTCCCCTACACCTGTTTGTGCCAAATGCCTCCTACCCACTCCCAGCACAGAAGACCGCAGAATACTTGTGGTTTGATGAACAGAAAAAAATGACTGGACTATAAGTAGAAGAATTTCTTAATTCTGGCCTTCTAGTGCATGTAACCTTTGCTGGATAAAGAGGAAGAATGAAAGTGTCTTCTAGATCAAGGTCCTGAGCTCGATCAATGCTTATAGATTAGAACTGAGGAAAAGTTCATCCTCTTGTAAACTGATTTCCCCCAGACCTCCCTCTCTGGTGGGTTGATATTAACAGAAATGATTCCATTTCTGCTGACTGAAGTTCCTATCTTTTGGTTGTGGTGTCTCCTTCACTGATTTCTGAGGCTCCCCGGGGGTCTTCCATGAGCCCAAAAAGCATGTTTAATGTACTTCTTTGGAAGTCACGTAAGGATGCTGAATCACTGCTGCTGGTGTGTCCAGACCACAGACCAGGCCCCGTGGCTGCCATAACACTTGCCAGGGTTTCACAGCTTCCCTCCTGAAAACATGCCCTTCCAGTTCTCCCTGTGCACCCCTCTGCCGATCAACTCATGCAAACAGAAGCCTGGGCCCCCCAGCTTCCCACCTCAGCATGCATACCCTGTAAGTTCTTCTAGTCCCTAGATAAGGTCACCAATGACCAAATGCTCAGAATGCTAGTATCGAGTGTCCTTTTTGCTCTAGCTCCCCTCCCATCTATCTCTCAAGGCTTATCTTCCAGTCGTCTGATCTAATATACCTGAAACAACAGGGCCAATTTCTGAAAAAAATAGCAACATCCTAAAGCCTCCAGTCTGTGTACATGGTAGACCCTCCCTCTGCTCTGCCTACCCATATCATTATAATTGGACCTCACAGGCTTTTCCCTCCTGTCTGTGGTCCAGCTAGTTCTGGGGTTAGGAGCACCTTCCTCACCCTGTGGTCCCACAACAATCTCTGCACTTTACCCAGAGTGGGAGTGATTGCTGCATTTGCCTTTGTGTGTCACCACAGCCACGGCACCCTTTCCATGCCTGTGCTCTTACAGCCCCAGACACGTAGAGTGCTGGGGTCAGACCAAAAGTAGCTAAATCAAAGCCACATGTGGCTATGGTGGCCAGACCCAAGAGTGGCTTGTGGAAACATTGTCCAGCTTCCTGCCTTGGCCCACAGGGAAGGTGCTTGGTGAGGGGACCCCAAGGGAAAGACTGGGGTGCAACACAATGCTAGGCAAAACAAGTGTAAATAAAACTATTATTTTATTGAACCTCATTATATATTTGATTTATTGTGTGCCAGGAAAGTACTGTATGAAAAAGTCAATTTGTTGGCTTTTATAATCTCATTAGGGTTTCCTTTTAAGGCATTATAATTGGAGGTGCCATCTGTTCTCTTAAAAAGGCATCACACATCACCACAGTAAATAATTTTTCAGATACGAGAAGCATATCTGGAGCTGTTGAGGAAAGGCACAGCCCTGCACTGTGGCCTGGGGGGCTCCTGCTGGTCCAGCAGGTTGAGCAGGCCAGACATTGCTGGGCCAGCTCAACCCGAGAGACTGGTTGGGTGGGGAGGACACAGGGGCTTGTTCACAGTGCAAATGCAGTCCCCTGCCCATCCCATTGGGAAGCAGTTACAGCCTGACTGGGCACTGTGGGTACCAGGTAACGAAGGAGAACTCTATCTTCCTAAAATGTCCAGGGCATGGGCATCTCCAGTGCTCAGGTTCTGTGGGTATGGGAGAGGAAGGCAGCATCAGGAGAGTTCAGTTCAGTTCAGTCTAGAGCCTCAAAGTCTGGAATGACCTTAGAGTCCACTTGTTGCATTTATCTTTAAATGAGATTATATCAGCAGTCACCTTCATTCCTTGATACAATATTGAAATATCAGTGAAAACCTATAGTGCACTAAGAATTAATATTTTTAATGAATTCTATTAATCTCTTGGGGCCAGCACACATATATTCATTACATTTTTAGTGCTAAAGTGTAATTTATTCCATCTAAACACTTAGAATGCATGACACCTTTTGTAGCCCTGTTTAGGCACTTCTTCATTTTCTTTTTAATCTACTGGGAGAGCTGGGGTCCCCCTTGAACTCTGAGAGGCCCTGGCAGCCTTGTGTGCCCAGCTTTGTCTCTGAGTCTTGTTGGCAGGGATATGAGCACACGTCAAGGCAGCGTCAAAGGGGCTGGTGCAGGTTCTAGGTGAAGTCAGAGAAGGGTGGCATTGAGAGCCCGATGTTCTCAGTCAGCAGTCACATTACTGCTACTAGTCTGCAGCCACCTAGCTCCCTTCTTCCTTCTTCTCCCTCCTCCCCAACCCTCTGCCGCAGCCTGCATTTCTACATCTGCTACATGAGTGCCTGGCTGACTGTGCCTTGCCCAGCGATGGCCCAATACTTGCTCATATGCAAGCATGAGAAGCTACAGCTGAGTATGAGGAGATCTTATCCCCCAACGTAAGCCATGAGTGGGATGTGGTGTGAGCTTGGGAGATAGCTAGAGGCAGGTGACAAGTGTCTCCCACTCCCTCTGCTGATGAAACTAGCCAAAAGAAGATAGGAGACCTGGGTAGTGCGGGTCACCTTCAATGAAGAGGTGTCAAAGGGGAAGGGGACTGAGGGAGGAGACAAAGGGAGAGGACAAGAGTAGGTGAAGCCCCCAGCAGGGAGATGTTGCGAAGGTTGTGGGTTGAGGAGCTGACTCCAGGCTCTGGGCTTGCTGGGCTTCAGCTGAAGAAGTCACCGTCTTCTGCTGCTGCCTCCCTGGGACACTGCCCAGAGGCCCTTGGTTTCCTGGGGAGTTCTGGCATTCCCCAACTGTCTCAATTTTTAGTGGGTCCTGTGAAAGCTTATAGAATCACCAACTGCATGTAGTGGTTAGAAGATGGACTTTGGAACTTCAGAGATAAAAGTTCGAATCTTGACTGTCTCTTATCTTTTCTGTGATTTTGGTTTAATTTCTTAACTTCCTTACATTCTGTCATTTTATCCTCACCACCTCTTAAGAATGTGTGCCTTTCTGAGTTGTTATGAGGATTAAGCCAAATAGTATTATAGAGCCTTTGGCACAGTGCCCGGTTCATAGTAAACTCTCAATTGATGTTAGAACTTGCTTTGGTTCCATCTCTGGGAAGTGTGAAGATTGCAGCAGATATTGAAGCTTCCAGCATAAGAGATGTTGGATATCTGAAAATAAAAGTGACATTGTCAGGGGGAGCCCAGGCACGATGCCATCTCTGAGCATCACAGCAGAATCCACTTTGTGGCACTAAACCACAGTCACCTTGGCAGAAAGACCCTGGTGGGAAAGAATGAGAAGGGGACTTCCATGTGACCAGGGGTGCCGTGGGAGGAGGGAGGCAGGCACAGGCCGGGCATCCGAGGACTGCTGAGCTGCTCCTCGGGATGAGAGGAGTCGAGGCACTGGGCAGGGGCGATGGCCCGCAAGGCTGGCTTTCCATTCCCAGGGAGCAGGGGCTCATGGACGCCTCCTGGTGAGACATGCTTCCTTCCAGGGGAGGGCTGATGGCAAGGGGAAGCGTGCCAGGGTCTGCCGGCCGGCGGAGCAGCCAGGAGCACACGAGGATTGGGCAGTACGGACCCCAGCACCTCGCAGCATGGTTGGGCTTCCATTTTAAATAATTTCTAGTTTACTGGGGGATGAGATGGAAAGGAGGAATTTATGAAGCAGGTGAAAATAGATAATTATGCCTTATAAAATTGCTGTCTGTGAAAAACTATGCAGAAGGACTGGTGTGAAAATAATTACCTTGTTACATTTCTGACCACAAAAACCCCTTTTCTGTCACCCACATGGGAGAAATTTTGATGGATCACAGAGGCAAGCTAGTGCTTGTCTTATTTCTTTTATTTCTTCTTGAAATGTAATGGGTTTCCCTCTGTGGTTTTGATCATAAGAACAGAAAGAAGAAGGGGCTCCAGAGGTCACTGTGTCCCCTGAGCCCACCTGCCAGC